CTTCCAAGTAAAGTATCATGTCATCCACGCTGCGCCTGGGCTGGGACCATTAGTAGGTCCCGCCGGCGCAGGGTAGCCGGAAGCTCTCCGACACACTCACTGGGCCTGGGCTAGGACTGGGTCTCCTACCTACCTGTTTTGAAACTGACTCATTGCTATTTCTTTCTCAATAAAATTAATTAAAAAATAAAGATAATTGAAAAGTAATACAGGGCCGGCGAGATGGCTCAGTGGAATAAGTGCTTCCCTGGCAAGTGCAAGGGCCTGAGTTCAATCCCCGGTTCGCCAAATAAATAAATTAATTAATTAAATAAAAGTAATACATAAGACATTAGAAATGATGCAGATTTCTTTCTTAAAAATAATGGCCAGCCAGATAGCTCAGCGGACTAAAGTGCCTGCTTAGGCCGAGAGCAGTGCCTGGGGTTTGATCCCCAGTGTGCTGTGCCATTCTGCCCTTGCCCCTGGGGCAAGCTGAGATGGTGATTGATACTGGGTGTGGTGGCACATGCCTGTAATCCCAGTGCTTGGGAGGCTGATAACAGGTGAATCACTACAAGTCTGATGTACGTAGTGAGACCCTGTAGACCCTGTCTTAAATAGAAAAATAAAGATAAAATAAAATAATAAGATGAAAGGTCACCCATTTTTATAGCAACAGAACTCATAATAGCTAAATCTTACAAGTAGCCTATGTCCCTCAATAGCTGGATAGATAAAGATGAAAGGGTGCTTGTACACAATAGAGTAGTATCAGCTCTAAAGAAGGATAAAATTGAGTCATTTATAGGAAAACATACACCTTGCATTCATAATGCTAATGAAGTAAATCAGATGCCCAAGGTTAACTGTCACATAGTTTCTCTTATGTGAAAAACCCAAAGGATAAATAATTTGAGGAGCAAAATACAGGTTAGACAGTAAGAAATAGACTTCATAGCGATGGGAAAGGGACTGGGAATGGATAGCAGATAGGTCCAGGGAAGGGAAATAAAAAGGATCAGATTCCATATGTACATGTACCAGTGCCCACAATAAACACATTTATGATGTATTACAAACATAGACTAATTAATTTCAGGGGCTAGTGGTGTTATTCTTGTCTAGCATGCATGAGGCCCTTAGTTTGATTTGTAACAGGAAAT